CAAGTTGCTTCTTGTGCAGTCCTATTGGAAGAGGTGGTGAGCCGGACCGCAGCTTGAAATGTGAAGGCCAAGTTGTCGGCAAGATTCCCCGCTCCATCCACCTCTCATTTAAAAAAGTATTTATCGAGGGCTCCCCTTGGGTACCGGCCAGTGACTTTCACTTACTCAGAAGCAGGAGCCCTCGGAAGAGCTGCGAGGCACCTCCCTTCCAGCCGGACAGTAGAGAGGTGACCGGTTCACTGACGCCAGCGCTCACTGTTCCTATTTTCAGTGTGCCGTAGCATCTCACCCTCCGGAAACGTGAATGACTCACGGCCCTTGCCAATTTTCATGTTTCTGTATTTTCACAGAATTTAAATCAATATTTTCACAGGAATTAAAATGTAAAATATAATTCCAGTAACTTAACAGACAACTGTTTTCACTTTTCCATATTTGTTTCCCTTATTTATTTATTTATTTATTTATTTTAGAGCGTCTTAGTATTTCGGTGGCATTTCAGGTTCAAGGGGTTCAAAGACATAGATTCAATCCCAGTGGGGACCGTAGAGTGAAAGTATTACGGTAACTGGAAGCCTGTCTTTTTTACCGCATGAAGTTCTGACCCGGTCCCTGAGCTCTGGCTAATGATGAAAGCGGTCTGGGAACAAACAGACTCGTGTCTCCTGCCAAGCAGAGAGCTCTAGTGGATTCCACTAAGCTCCCCGGGACAGCTGGGATGACCATCTACGTTTAGAAGCCGAGAACCAGGAGCCCATTTCACAAACGTTAGGGCAGCCTGAAGAGAGAGGGACAGAAGGCAAGAAAATGCATTCCACATCAAGGAGTGCTTAGAAGTCAGAACAGCTTAGAGGAGAGAGGAATTCCCTTGACTTCTCAGCCCATAAATCGTTGCCCATTCTTTCACACCCTCCTCTCCAGCGGCCACTTTTATCCACGCCCCTCCGCATTCTCTCTCCCTCTAGCTACCTTTATGTACTCTTAATAAACCAAAGACTTGACATGAATTTGAAGCCCTTTTGCAGATGGCTGCCTCCTCCACCATGGGGCTAAGAGCAACGAGAGAGGCACACGATCTCCCATCTTCTTAGGAAGGCAACATACTATCATGGGGGCCCCATCCTCATGACACAATCACCTCCCAAGTGGGAGCTTGGGCCCTACCTCCAAGTGCCAGACACTGGGAATTAGGAATTCAACACATGAACTTGGGGATGGTGGTACGGGGGTGGGGGACACAACATGTTGGCATTGTTCTTCCCGGGACACTGAAGTCTATCTAAGATCAAGCTGTAAAGGAGGAGAACCATCTCCTTTGTGCCTACTTACTTCTTTTGAGCGTGGGCAATCACAAGGACTTCACGGAGAAGGGGGCATTTGAGCCAGGGCTCAATTAAGGATGAGGTTCCTATTTTTGGAGCTGGTGGGGTGGAAATTTCAGATGAAGGGAAAAAAGAATGAACAATTGCTTCGAGACTTAGATTCTTATAGAGGGCTAAAAATCTCAGAGGCTTTTCTGTTGGTAAGTTTTCAGGCAGGTAGAAGAGTTTTGGGGTTTTCAAGAGGCCTTTTCGCATTTTCACAGAGCTTAGCTAAGCTGGTCATCTTTGCTACATAAAATATGATGTCAACGGAGAAAGACCCACTTTTGAGCCTCATGTGGGTCATGTGGCTCTGCCCAGAGGAGATGACTGTGTTCCTGGAGGCACAGGGAGTGCCCCACACCTGCCCAGACTTGGTGACAGACCATGGCTATCTCAGCGAAAGCTCTCCCTCCAACTGGAAAAAGAACCCACCCCTCAAAGTGGTCAAAGCACATTTTCTGCCAAGAGGAGATTTGTACACTCATCTCCTTCTCTTTCCATTCTTTCTCCCTTGTCTTTGTCACGAAGGCTGCCCTTCAATGGCCAGGGTACCAGACTTTTAAATCAACCAGGCTCACTCCGGCCCATCGCCCATTCTTTCTGGGTGAGGGAGTGAACAGCCGAGAACAATCCTCTTCCGGGGCAGCAGCTGGAATAACCAGTAACAGATGCAGGGTTGAATCATCGCGCTCAGGGAGCCTGCCTGCATCCAGGCTGGAAGCGTGTAAGGAAGGCTGGCGTCAGCCACCAGTACCCTGCCCCGTGGCGTCATCAAAAGGATCCCTTCCCCAAACGGTCACCTGTTTGCCACAGTGTCTGGAATTTCACCACTAGGTTTGGTGACCGACTCGCTACATGTTACAGCTGGTCCATCAACTCTTAGAAACAGAAGTCCTGCCCTGCAGCTTTCCAGTACCTTGCGGGGCATCTCCGCGGGGAGAGTGGGCACTCAAATGACTTGTTTGGGACAACAAATTCATTCAACAGTCATCGTGCTGAGAGCCTAGCCGACATTCAGCTGTGTAGGAGGTCCTTCGGGATGAGCGACAGAAACGAGCCCTACCCTTACCCTCAAGTAAGATCGAAGTCTTCAAATAGCCGCACATAAACAGCAACAGACCTTCTATGTAGGTAAGTATGACAAACATAGCCAAATATGTATATAAAGTCCACTCCACCCCCAGATTCAGGCAAGTCTTTGTCAGAATGCTTTAATTCCCCTGAGTTTCTTCTTATAATCTGGAAGAAGCTGTCTTGTAGTTACGCCTGATCACCCAGGTCACGGACTTTACCTCCTGGGGCTGATGTCCCTGATGTATGCCATATCATATTTAGATTGTGACTTCTCTGGCAATAAGTTATATTTGATCTGAAGTATACTTAATCAGGTTGTGCTTTTATAAAAGCAACATTTGTTTTTGCAACTGCTTGGTAAACCACAAGGGACACCCTTCCTGTGTGAATTTCAAAGCACGTTAGAAGACGTTAGTTAAATTTCCAGAAAACATCTTTAAACAGGACCCACACCCCTTATGAAACGAGGATTAGAGGGATAATAATGCAAACCATGTTACATTCATGGATTTATTCATGATTCATTCAATGAAGTCACTGAGCACTCACTTGGAGCTGGGGATTCTAGTTCCCAGCAGTAAACAAGACTCTGAGGTTCCATGGATTCAGGTTAGTGGACTTAGCATATATGCAAGCACTGGTTTAAATAGAGAATAATAATATCAAGCTCTTCTCAGTCTGGTGGCTTCATAAATAGTCCTCCATACTGTGTAGCCCAGGCCATTATCTGGTGGCTGTTCCCACTGCTTCAATATATTATGCTGGTAACACTGGCAATAGCACTCTCTTTTCTTGTAGACTTTGTCACATTCATGACATTCCAAAAATATTTTCTTAGGATTTCTGGGCCAGAACATGAAAGGCTATCCCACATTTAAAACAAGTTATTTGCTAGTGATTTCTAGGACTGTGTTCAGCATTAACCAAGTTTTACTCTAGAGGCAAAGAAAGACCCTAAGTAAAATTTGATATGCAACTTTTTTTTGTTCTAAGAGTGGAGGTTGTCTTCTGAGACCTTACAGTCCTGTTCAAAACAGCCTGATAGGGTGCCTGGGTGGCTCAGTCAGTTAGACGTCTGCCTTCAGCTTGGATCATGATCCTGGAGTTCTGGGATGGACCCCCACCCCCCAGCCGGGGCCGGGGTGGGGGTCAGCTTCTCCTTCTGCCCCTCCCCCTCCCTGCTCATGCTCTCTCTCTCTCTCAAATAAATAAAATCTCAAACAAACAAAAACACAAAAAATCCCCAACCTGATAGCAATGAGATGAGGGCTCTGTGTAATTTTAATTTTTGTGGTCTGGGACAGACTTCAAAACGACAGACGTCGTCCCACTATTGTTGGGATGTTGCTTCTCTGCCTACGACAACTTTCTGCCCTCCTTCAGTGTTTGCGAACATCGAACTGCCGAGAGCTCCTGTGATTTTTGAGATTCCAGAGTAAATCTTGTCACGTCGTCTGCGGTTTGGGAGAATGCCTACGACCGCGCCGCCGGCCTGGGGAAACCTCCACGGGCGCGGGCAAAACCAAGCGCAGGTGCGCCGGCCGCCGGCCCCTGAGCCTGTCCCGTAGTCCCTCCAGGGAAAGGCGCTTTGAGTCACCGGGCACTTCGTTTCCCTCCTCTGTCCTTTTAGGAGGAGCGGGAACTAATTTTCCGCAAACGCTCCGACGCTAGTTCTCTCTCCCCAGGCTCCTCAGGAAAGGGACCGGAAAGGAAGGACGCGGCCGGTGGCTCGGTCCTGAAATCCGGCTTCTCCTCCGCGGGAGAAAACTTTCCTTTGTCAAACAACTGACCACGTGGCGCTGTGGCGGTCACCACCAGCAGCCCCGACAGACCGCCGGGAGCGGACTCGGGGGCGCGCCCGCCGCCCCCTGAGGCGCCCAAGGGAAACCCTGAAAAGCGGGGGAGCGGCTGCAACGCGGGAGAGCGATCAGGACGCGGGAGAGGGGCGTGGAGGGTGGGGTTCTCGGCAGTGGGCGGGCTCGGGGGGCGGGATTCCAAGCGTGGGGCCCGGAGGGTGGGGTTCCCGAGAGGGCGGGTTGGGGGGGGTGGGAAGGGTTCCCGGGAGTGGGCGGGTCCGGGGGCGGGGCTCCCGCGGTTGGGCGGACTCGGTGGGCGGGATTCTCGGGGGTCGGGGTGCGGAGGGCGGGGTACCCGGGGGTGCGGATCGCGGCGGTCCCCGGGGTGCGGAGGTTGCTGAAGGCGGGGTACCGGGGTCGGGGTGCGTGAAGTTCCCGGGGTCGGGCGGGCTCAGTGGGCGGGGCTCCCGTGTTCGGCGTGCGGAGGGCGGAGTTCCCGGGGGTGGGCGGGCCCGTCCTCGGGAGTGGGGGAGGGCGGGGTCCTCGGGGCAGCGAGGCGCTGCGCTCCGCGGGGCGGGGAGGTGGCAAAGAGTCCCGGGGGTGCACGGGCTCGGAAAGCGGGGTCGTCGGAGGTGTGGGGGAGGGCGGGGTTCCCCGGGGTGCGCGCACGGAGGGTGATTCCCGTGGCGGTGAGGCGCGGGGTTCCCGAGTCGGGGGGGGGGGGGGGGGGGCGGGGGGGGCGGGGCTCCAGGCTGGGGGGGCGGCGCGGCGCGGGGAGGGGTGCGGGGAGGGGGAGCGGCGGCCAGGCCGGGCATGGCGTCGATGGCGGCGGCGATCGCGGCCTCGCGCTCTGCGGTCATGAGCGGGAACCGGCCTCTGGACGACCGGGAGCGGAAGCGCTTCACCTACTTCTCGTCGCTGAGCCCCATGGCCAGGAAGATCATGCAGGACAAGGAGAAGATCCGCGAGAAGTACGGGCCCGAGTGGGCGCGGCTGCCGCCCGCGCAGCAGGACGAGATCATCGACCGGTGCCTGGTGGGGCCGGGCGCCCCCGCGACCCGCGACCCGGGGGACTCGGGGGACTCCGAGGACCTGGCGCGCTTCCCCGGCCTGCGCGGGCCCACGGGCCAGAAGGTGGTGCGCTTCGGGGACGAGGTAGGTGCGGCCGCGGCCGGCAACTCTCTCACCTCCCCGCGCCCCGACGCGGCCCGGGTGGCCCCTGCCCGCGTCAGGTCGCCCCCGCCGGTCGCGGGGTAGGGGCTGGGAAGCAGGAGGGGCAGGGATGGGAGTGGGCGGGAGGGGCGTCAAGGCGCCGTCGCCGCGGGGCGCGGGGCTCCCCAGAGGGAGTTTGCGAATCGCCGCGAGGAGGTGGTCTTTAAAGACCCCCACCTAGACCCGCGCGGCTGGGCCGCACCGGAGTCGGAGAGTTCCCGCAGCCGAAGGCGGCTGCTCCTAAACGAGGCAGACCCGGGTGGGGTGGGGGGGAACAGCAGGGGATTGTAAGCCAGCCAAGCCGAGCTCTAATCCACTCTGCTATTCGGCTGTGCGGCCGGGGGTGACTTAACCCCCTGGAGCCTCAGTTTCTCTCCCCGCCCCTCCCCCGTCCCGGGGTAAACCGGAGATAATACTTCTCAGCCCGTGCCTGCCCGGGAAGGCACTTAGAAAATTATATACATTAATATTTGTGATGAGTTGTACGGGACAAGTGAGACTGTCAAGCAGGATAAAAAGAAGGAAGAAGCCCGTGCCTGCCTTCCAAGGTTAGGATGTTTCCCTGAGATGTTTTACCGGTGAGCTCGATGTGACGCTTTGGTTTGGGGGGCGAGCATAGGGCCCCGTTTTTCCATCGAAAAACTAAGGGATGAGTTTAAATGGGCTCCAGCAAGCCTTGGCTACATATAAGGGCATGTCTGGCTCTTTGATCTAGACTCCCGTCCCCACACTTCCGAGAGGGGAGAAACGCTGGAACTATAGGAGAAGAAACTCAGGGATGTCCTCTTCTAAGTCACAAAGGCCTGAGTGTTCAGTGCTGCTTAGAAACCTGGTCTTTCTCTCCTTTTTTCTTTCACTGGGACTCATTCGGTGCCATTCGAATTTGCACTGTTTTGTGCCATTAGAATCTGGCCTTTCACACTCAACTTTGACCATGAAGGGCGAAGTCAAAAGGAGCAAGAAGTCTAAAAAGGAAGTGTGCAAATTAAGCCCACGTTCTGTTTTAACCCTGGGAGCCTGCAGGAGGGAAGCTGGGGTTGATGAGTTTTTTCCAGGGTGTTGTGGGTTGTGGAAGGGATTCTAGTTAACACTGCATTTTAAAGCTGATTTTCAGGCTTGGGCGTGCCGAGACATTTATTAATATAAAATGTTTGTGGTCGTAAACCCACTTAAATGTGAGGGGTGTGTGAAGGACAGAAATATGTTGCCCAAATTGCCTTATTCCTAGAGAATTCAAAGAAAAGTCTGCATTGGACTTTTACACTCTGAAGGCTCTGCCAGGAAAAACAAGGGTGTGGTATACTGGGGGCGGGGAGGGATGAAGATACAGGTTCAAAATGTATTTAAGAGCCAACATTTTCAGTGTAAAAATCTGCATCTGTATGAAGCCATTTGCAGTGTTTGTGCTCAGATTTGGGTGATGCAAAAGCTAGCAGCCCCTCTTTGGAAAAGACCTGAGTAAGTAAAGAGGAGAGGAAGTAAACCTGTAAGTACTTACAGATGTTGGAGAGTGACGGTCATTTTTCCTTAGCTTGGTGTCCTGGTAAGAATATCCACGTGCCTGCCCATCATCAGAAAGCTCTTGCCATATAAGGGCTCAGTATCACTGATAAGGAAAGATGTAGCCAAGTTAATTTTGTACTCAGATTCCTGAACTGGGTGCCAGACTGACCCGTTTCTGGATCTGGAAGCCCGATGTGATTTAAAAGCAAACGGAAATCTTTCCTGTAGTTACCTTCATGCCATTCCGGGAGCAGACCAGCTGTGTTTTTCAGAATTGAACTCAGTTTTAAGAAAATGGGCTGAGAGGATGCCTTGCAATGCCTCTGGCCAACTTGGCACAGACGGCAGAGGGACAGAGGACACTGAATTCGAGGAGAGGTAGTTAGGAACGTGGCGCGTGGTCTGTTTTTGCCTGCAGTGGCTGTGTGGTTTAATGGCATGAGGGTGTTTAAAATGCATTCCCCCAGACCTGGCAAGAGGTTGGCACCAAAGTAGTTGGTGGTCTTGTGCCCAGGGCTGTTCATGGAGGAGGGCTGGCTCCCGGGCACAAGGGGCGATGGGTAAGGGTGGGGTGGGGTGGGGTAGGGGTGACCCCCGGTGAGGCTGACGGACAGAGTGGCCCAGATAGGTGGCCCAGGTTTGTCCAGAAGGACCCTAAACCAGATCGAGTAAGGCCCTTTGTCCCTTCCTACTTGATCTGTCTTCTGATGTCCCAGGGGCCTCCACAGCCAATTAGGGCACGGAGAATGCTATTGGGAGGTCCCCTCTGGCTTGCCCACCCCCAGCAGCCACAGACAGACTTCTGACGCCTGGGTGCTTCTGGTGAATCAGCTGTCTCTGGAGCCACTGTCTGATTCTAGATAACGAACAGGCGGTGGCCTCTTCTGTACTTCCACGAAAGACCATCCCTCATACTGGTTGTGCGTACTGGGTTCCTCCGGCCTTTCCTCAGGCCGAAGTAGGCGGAGCCTGGGCTCTGCGGAGAGTCTTGGGTTTGAGTCTTAGCTCCCCCATCTACCGGCTTTTTGACTGTGACTGAATCATAAACCTCCCCGAGCTGGGGTTTTCTGGCCTCTGCGATGGGAATAGCATTGACAGGGTGCGGGCCGAGATCATGCCCATGAGGGGCCTACGGGCTTTAAAGACGGTTGCAGCCATTCCTGGTTAAGAATGCCATTGAACCTTGAACAGCACGGGTTTGAAGTACGTGGGTCCACTTATATGCAGACTTGTGGGGTGAAATATTGTACCATAGATGTATTTTTTCTCTTCCTTATGATCTTCTTTATAACATTTTCTTTTCTCTTACTTTATTGTAAGAATGCAGTGAATGCAGATAACATACAAAATAACGTGTTAATCGATTGTTTGTCTTCCTGGTAAGGCTTCTGGTTGACCCTAAGCTGTCAGTGAAGTTTCTGGAGTCAGAAGTGACGTGGATTTTCAAGGGCACAGGTGTCCCTAAGCCCTGTGTTGTTCAGGTGGCAAGTGGGTTATAAGCTAGTCTCTCTGTTGCCACTTGCAAAAATCATGATCATGAAATAAATACATTTCTGCTGTTGCGAAGCCTGGGGTTGGCCTGTCAGGGTTGTCCACGTGAGAAGGAACTCTGTCCTGGTGGCCTCTGGCGATCTGCCTCGGGACACGTGTCTGAAGCTTCAGTGTGTTCTGTCCGCAGTGTGGCCGTGATGTGGCCTGTCTCCAGATCAGCAGTCACATCAGCCTCGGATGGTGTCCCCCCCCCACCCCTTCAGCTACCCTGGAGGACAAGCACATCACCCGTTTTTTTGAATGCCCTCTCCCCCATTACCGGTAACCTTTTTGTATCCCACATTTTAAGTCCGATCATAAAAATATAGCCTCCAGATGTGAGCAGCGTCTAGTTGTTCTTATGTATGAAGGAATAAGTCAGCAGAAACCCGGCTGCATACTGATGGTCATCGATCTCGGTGGCCCTGAGTGTGGGCGGGGCTCTGCTCCCAGGTCACACTTGCCTCTGGTGGGACTGCTCTGCCTAGAGAACTGTGACACCGTGGCATCTGTTTTCAGTTGTACCCTCACTGTCTGTACGGCAGGAAGGTCAGGGCTCAGATGCCCCCTTGCCGGGGTGACCAACCTGGTGTGGAGGGAGATTGGCTGCCTGTGTGCCCTGAAGCCTTGAGGGGACCTGTCTGTTTTCCGTTTTTACTTCCTTGGGAGTCAATTTAGCAAATATCTCTGAAACCCCATTACATTAGAAGCTAGAGGCGTTCTCACTCTAGCGCTGCCTGACTCCATTATCTTCACCGGCTCCTTAAAAAGTCCCCCCACCCCATGAACATGTGATCTTACTACAGTTTCAACACAAGGCCACCAACGCCTGCTACCCCCCACCCCGTCGTGTCCCCAGGCCACTCCTATGCAGAGAATCTGGAGCAGCTGGTGGACGCCTTCTCTCTCAGCGAAAGGAGAGAAGCACCTGGGGTCCCCAGACCTGGCCTCCATTCCCGGCCGCTCCACCTGCTCAGGGCGGAGGCCTCCCTCCGTGAAATGAGTGGCCCATGAGGTTTCTCTGGTATTTGGTATGAACCTGAAGGCTTGTTTGCAAACAGGCCTTTAGCAGTCTGACTTTCCCTGCATTCTTCCTTCAGCAGGAAATGGCCTGGGAGATGAGAGATTTTCTTTTCTTTCTTTCTTTCTTTTTTTAATTAATTAATTTAAAAAGTTTTTTTTTTTTTTTTTTTAGATTTTCATTTTAGAAGGTTTTTGAGATCATTCAGTCTGCTTCTGCTATTTCCTGTTGCCAAATTGGGGGAGGGGGTAAGCAAAAACCCAAAGCTGAATTTTTAGGGATGTGTTACAGGCCATGAGCAGGTAGCCCCGGGAATTTGGTGTGTTTGCTTCTCATGGACCTACGTGTCTCTCCCGCCTCCCACAAAGTAGGTAGGAAGGGCAGCTGGGAAGCTGGGCAGGAAGGGTGTTGCCCCTGTGCCACACGCCAGTCCCCGGGGACCCTGCTCGGGATCTCGAATGCCACGGAACACAGAGTTTTGGGGCCTTGGAGCCAGAAAGCTCTGTCCCCCCTTCAACAGGTTAGCATGACCAGCTGCTGTCGGAAGGAAGTGTCCCTCCTCAGGCGTCCTCGTCCCTTCCCCTGTTGCAGGGATCTGGAGGCTGGCTGGCTGCCTCCTCGTTCCCCTCTGCCTTCCCCTCCTCCTCTGGGGCCGAGCCTGGGCCTCCCTGACTCCCCGACACCCTTGGCAGGGCACTTCCTTCTGCAGGCCTCTGCGGGCCCATGCCTTGGCCCAGCCCCCCGCACATCGAGCTCTTGTCCCCACTTGGCTGAAGTCCCTTTCTCTGAAGTGATCTGAGGGTGCTCGGGAGGCTGGGGGTCAGGATGGAGTATCCCGGCTCAGCATACCGTGCTGAGCCGCTGCTTCCACTCGGTGTCCTGGGCGCCA